TTTTTTTTCCTAATTCCCTGCGATCAGACCCATTCAATCACTCAAAATTATGTCAGAGATAAGATCTGCTATCTGGGTCAGGCAGACGGGATCACTGTGCCACTAGCAGGAATACTGTCTGTTCCATTAGAGCAAGCACTGGCTCAGTGCACTGGTGGAAATCATTCTGTCTCATTCTGTCAAGTACTAAATAGCTGAACCTCAGTTTGTTAAGTAGGGCACTTGGCACCTCATAGGATTAGAGTTTTTGAATTAAAACCTGAAGTCGTGCGTATGGCCTCATTTATGCAAACGATGTGGATCACTGACACGGTTACTGATTTCATTTTTAGGTAATACTCCAGGCTGCAAAATGTGGAAGTTTAGGAGTGGTTATCGGTGTCACACAGCCTTCCTTGCTGCACTGCTGCTGATATTCTGCAAGGATAGCAGAACAGACATTTGAGGGTGGTTGCAAATGTTCTGTCATCTGAGCTCATGCTTGCTGCAGATGTCAGTCTGAGCTTGCAGGATCTTTGGATTGCTTTGTCTCACACAACATTTTGTGAGTGCAAGTCCATATTTCTGCCCGTGTCACACTTCTGAGGGGCTATTTAGAGCAGCTTGGCTTCCCATAGCTGGAAGGAGCCATTCTCAAGTGCAGCTTTTCCCAGTCACACATGGAGGTCTGAGTACCATCTGGGAATATAGGCAGCTTTCTTACTGATTTCTGTTAACTCAGCAATGCTCAAAATACGATCCCACTAATTCAAACAAACTTTGCTTCTAGGGGATTGTCTCTGGACGGCAAATGTCAGGTCCTTAATATTATTTGTACTTTGGTAGCACCTACAGGTCCAAAAAGGGATTGCAGTGCTGCTGAGCACAGCAAGATGCACTGCGCGTTTCTGCCCTAAGGGCTTCATTGAGCTCAAATGGATGAATGTTAATTCTAGGAATGTGATCCAGTTCTCTTCTCAACATCAAAATGATGTCTAAGCACTTCTGGTTTTCATCTGTAGATCAAATGCAAACTGTGAAAATGAGGTCACCAATGAATGCTTCTATATTGCAGAGTCCTTTATTATGAAAACATGAAGAGAGAAATTATATTATTCCCCTAGTATTCTCCTGGAAAAAATGCATGGATAAAACAAACTATAAAAAAATAGATACTCACTCCTTCAGAATAGTAAAACAAGAGCCCACTGGGCTGCAATGTCCGGAAATTAAAGCCTCCTTCAAATTTAGTGAAGAGAGATGCTTTTTGGCTTGATGCAATGAAGCTCTCTCCATTGAAATATGCATTGCGGGACATCTGTGTATTAAATAAAGCAAAATTACAAGTAAACCTCAGAAAACATTCCAATAATAAAAAGAATGAGGCTATTATTTTTTAATTTTTTTTTTAAAGATGCAGCTGGTTCAGTTCAAGAAAACCGTCAATTTTTCCTGCGTGCTTTAAACCAATTTATACAGCCTTTCTCTCACATTCATGGAAATTCTTAAGAATGCATAGCAATTTTAGACAGTATAAGTCAAATTATTCTCAGCTTCATGGTATTCTTGGCCTCATTCCTAGTTGATGCTAGTGAAAACGAAGAGGAGACGCAGAGGGGGCTCACGTCCCTGTCTGAGCTGTGTGGCATTGAATCACAGTTCCAGCACATGATATATTAGTTTGCATGCTGCACTGAGTGCTGGGGTGGAGTGGAGGGTCTTGGACATGCTGGTCTATACCCTGTGAGTTTCAAGAGCAAAACTGGGTCAAAGGAAGGACAAATTACAGATAGCTTCCTTGTTGACAGAGACTGTGTGGTGAGTTCTACAAGTGGTGAGATGCTTCATCTTCAAGGCTTTGGATAGACATGACTGCAGAATGAAGACCATAAACTGTTTAGATTTACTGGCCTTGCATTGTAATGGACAAATGATGAATGATGGAAGAGAGCAGAAACAAAAGGGCAATTTTCTTTTCTGTGCTAATGCTGGTGCAGTTGTTTTGTGTGTCACAGAGGAAGAGCTGGTCTGACTTAAGGAGAAAACTCATTTGAAGGGTGGATATTTTGCTGTCTTTTCCATTTCATCCTATATTAGGATGCATGTAAGGACAATTCCCCTTGTATCCTTAAGAAAAAACAAATTACATTGGAACAGTTCCTTTCAAAATACAGCACACAGTTTATTTCAGATCCAGCTTTCACACTGCAATTTCGCATATGAGAAGACTATCAAGTGAAACACTTTGTGCTATAATTCAAGGTGAAAATTGGGTAGTATGTCAGCAGACTTAACAGACACCACTCCCCAGCCTCCCAGCTCTGCCAGTCAATGAGTGCATAGTCATTTCCTTGGTTGAAGACTGTATTTCCATTATTTGGAGTAAAACTGAAACTCACAGATATATCTATTGCCAAAATTTTGTTGTTAGGTCACAAATAATGTTATGCTTACCAATGAATCCTCCGGGCACCCATAGCTGATTCCCAGGGTTCCTGGTTCTTCCAACAAGTTGAAATCCTTCTTTTGGAACTGGAAACCCTTCATGCAGCCTTTAAAGCCGATACTTCCTGCCAGATGTGAACTAATGCTGCTGGGAAACAATGCCAGACAAGCTGCAGTTAAATATCCCTTGCCTTTCTGAACAGTCTTTTGTTGCCAAGATGTTCTAAAAGGCTTGGAAGAACTTCAGCCATTCGCCTTACTAGTGCCCAATTCTTGCATCGTTATGCAAAACAACTAATTAAGCACATTATGTGTTATGGAAAGTCAAGATGCACCAGTTGTAATAAATGTTATGGGGAGAAATAGATGAGAGCTCAGAGAGGAGATCTATGTAGAGTAACTTCGAAAAGATAAAAATAGATGATGAAATAAAAAGACCTATTTAAAAATGTATTTCTACCCTCTTACAGTGAAAATCAATTAATTTTTACCTCTATTTTTTATTTTTTAAGGAAAAATCTGCTTTAGGCTCTTGTCTTGCTTTTACTAGCAAGCTCCATTCTTGCCTGTGGATCTCTGTTTCTTAATAAAAATAGCAACAGAGGTCAGAGAAGTAAGAGCAAATTCTGCTTGCTGTTGTGTGGGTTTACATAATTGTGAATGAGAGGAGTAGGTGGGTTTCCAGGATCCTTTTTATGTCAGATTTGATGTAGGCAGCACTCCAGTGTATCCCAACTGCTCCTACTCAGTACTCAGTTTTTCAACTCTACCTTGTACCAAGATATTACAACATTTTGTCTCTCCTGTCATGCCTGTAGTGAGAGGACTAGTGGGAATGGTCATAAACTGGGACAGGGAAGAGTCAGATTAGATGCTAGGAAATATTTTTGCATTGGTAGGGTGTTCAGGCACTGGAATAGATTTCCCAGGGAGGTGTTGGAGTCACCATCCCTGGAAGTGTTTAAGAGGTGTCTGGATCTGACGCTGGAAGATATGGTTTAGGGGTTAGGGGTTACAGCAGAGTGGCAGGTTTTCAACATCATTATTGATCATAGTTTCACAACACCTATGGTTTTGTTTCTGAAATGACTTGCTCATTGAGATGTTATTTTTCCTGCTTTGACAGTACCTTCCAGGTGTTCTGCAAAATAACCAAAATTCACTTGGAAAACTGCAGGCATAATTCATGTGATTTATCTTCTATCCTACATTTGTGAACAAGGTCCTTCTGGGCTTTTTCAGTGTTCTTTAGGCTTGATTAACTAAACTAATTTTCACTATCATTTTGTACTTTGTTTCCGGATCATTAATATATTTAATCCCAGCCCTAAGAGAGATTCTTTGAGTGCGTGTTGTAGACTTTTTACACTCTGAAAATTGAAGAGTTACTTCTATGTCCTATTTTCTATTTCCCAATTGCTTTCTAATCCACTGCAGCCTTTTCCCTCTCCACCCCACTAGTTTTCTTAATGGCCCCTTATGACAGACCTTTGCAAAGAACTATTTGAAAGGACAGATAAATTATATACTCTGTTTCTCCCTTGCCCATCATTTTGTTTGCATGTTCAAATTATAACATAGGGTTCAAAGGTATGATTTTTCTTTACATGAAGTTTGTCCCTGTTTTCAAAGCTTAAAGATTAAGTACTGTATATCTCAGATATTATTTATCAATTCAACAGTCTCTCCAGAAAACAAAATAAGGTTTCAGGATATTTACCACTAATTCCTAAAAATTATCATGCAATATTTGCTACATTTTTATTTTTAAGGATAAAATAGAGGTATTTTATAATAAGGATTTCATAGAGGGTATTTTCAAGAGAGATGGTATTCCTGCTAGCAGTTGTGACACTTGAAACAGCAGCTGGAGCTCTTCTGAAAGCACTTCTGAAAGTGCTGTCTGACCCTGGGAATGAATATTGCCTATCAGAAGAGCATACTCTTCTTCAGGCAGCCAGTTTGCTCTCAGAGCATGACCCTGGGGTCCAGCAAATTCCTGAAAAAAAAAGCTGCAGGAAAGTTATATAGTCTACTGAGATTAAAATTGGCTTCTATCAAATGGTGCAATGGGAAAATGTGACATTTTCTTTCCTTCCCATGTCTACACAGAGTCAGCTGACTTGAATCTAGAGAGGACTTGAGAGGGATCACAACAGAAATGCTCAGTAGGAAAAAGATCATCTTTAGATTTGAAAGTGCAGTTGTTAGAGGGTCTTGATACTTGAGCTAGTACTGAGATTAAAATTGGCTTCTATCAAATGGTGCAATGGGAAAATGTGACATTTTCTTTCCTTCCCATGTCTACACAGAGTCAGCTGACTTGAATCTAGAGAGGACTTGAGAGGGATCACAACAGAAATGCTCAGTAGGAAAAAGATCATCTTTAGATTTGAAAGTGCAGTTGTTAGAGGGTCTTGATACTTGAGCTAGTGCTTTGGTATTTTACAAAGATCACTTTTTGCAGAGCAAGGAGGAATAGCAATTTTATATATATTGTGTTCCTTGAAAATACCTTTTGCTTTTAAGAATGTGACTGTTTCTATTCCTCACACTACAACTAGGCCAGTTTCAGTTGAATTTAACTGTGCTGGATCAAGCCTAATCCTTGATACTTCAGAGCTCTTAGAAGAGTGTCTGAGAGTGTTTTACATAAGGTGTTGATTGCAAAGAAAATGTTTTATTATTAGCCCTTCAGCATAGGTCATACAACATAATTTAAATAATGAAAACTTGAATATAATGATTGAATCCCAGTTGTGAACCAACCTGGAGTGCAAGATCTCAGCAGGTGCTCCTCCAATGTAGATATCTGTGAACGGCATTGCTGTTCTTTCATTATCCACACTTTTTATATGTCTCCTGTCTACTACCAAGATCATCTTCTTATAATTGTGATATATAATAGAAATCTGAAAAGAAAAGTGTGTACTTAAAAATGTAATCTTTTGTAAGTTGTCATGGTAATCTTGCAAAATTGATTGCATCTTTATATGGTTTTATTTGAAAAGTTTCTCCCATTTATCGAAGAAGTTGTTTGTAAATTGGCAGAGGCTAACAGTGATTACCAATAGGAAGCTTATTTTGATGTCACAGTTTCTCTGATGACTGAAACCTCAGGATGTTTTACTTATAAATAAATCCACATGAAAGTGTCCTATGTCAAATTCTGCATGGTAGCAAACAGGCAAGCTCCAGTAACTTCAGAATGCTTTCTTGATCTATGCAAGAAGTTAGGGCATGCTTCTTAAAAAAGTTATTTCATTGTCAAAGCATAAAAAGCAAAGAAAATGGCAGGAGAAGCAACTCACTAAGAGGGATTTGTTACTGTCGTAGTTACACTGGCTTAAAGCAAATTCCCTGAAACCAAATACAAGTAGATATTTTACATCTGCCAAAGTCCCTAAAATACTGTGCTTATATAAAAGGCTGCTACCAAATTAACTCTCTCTTTAAATAAAGTGGGAAATGCCATAATTCTTGGAATGCAATGCATAACAACTAAAGTGGTCAAGCTAACATAATGATATGTCTTTTGTTGAGGGGAGTTGTATATCTGAGAGCTATAGTTGTCCTCAATATGTTTTCATTTTGCATAATAAACCTTTTTCTCTTGTGTGAACTGTCCTGTTCTTGGCTAGTAATACACAGAATCTGCCTACAAGCACAGATTTATGAGGAAGCAGTGAGAGCCTTCCCCTTCCACTGCTTGGTAGTGGTAGGAATTATATACACTCTACTCTTCTGCCTGTTCAACTGTGTCACCACCTTATCCCTCCATTTGCTGGTGTTGGAGCAACTACTGCTGCTTTGGAGCTTCTGAAATAGTTGGTCAAATAGCTGTGGTAGTGACCACATCTCTACCTCATGAAATTTAGCATCGTTAATCTGAGCCTTCTTCATGGAGTCCTCAAGAAGCACAGGACCATTGCTGAAGCCAAAGTCATATCGGAGGTACAAGAATCCATTATGCATCTCTAGGCTGAAGAACATACTCTGTATAAAACAAAACAGCAGACAAAATCTCTATGTGGCAACAAATTAAAATAATTAATAAATAGTGGCATGAGAGTGACACAAATAGCATGCTGGGAAAAGATCTTTTAATTCCAAAACTATAACACAGTTCCTAAATTACTTTTATATACTTAATATATGTGTATATAGGCACATGGCCACATAATTGTTTGATCAACAGCACTTCTTTGAAGACTTGGTGAACTGTTTCCCTATAGAATTAGTATTTAGTAGCACAGTAATGTCAACTTTGTTACTAGCAAAGTATTCCTAATGCAAACACATCTATTTACCATCGAAGTAATCCCACATGCCCTAAATGAAAGATGTTATGCTGGTAAAAGCAATGTTGTGCTGGAATGGCTGTATCTGCATTAGCAACTTCTGTCATGATATCTGTATCACTCGTGATTATGTCTTTTCACAGCCCTGATCCTCACTGATGTACTTACTGAGGGCTGAGCAATAGCTGGAGTGTATTTAGTATGTATTTGGTTTCTGGAATTCCTGATTGTTCCTGCTTTATGGTTTGGCCTCTGTTCTGTGGCTGGATGACCTAAACTTTATAAACAGGACCTGTACTTTGGAAAATCTTTAGGAAGTGCTTGAAATGAAGATCTGTAGCATAAAATTAGTCTTGTTCTAAAACTGAGCATAAAGAAACAGAAAGGACAGTTTACAGCAAATCTGCGTTAATGCTTTTAATGCTAACGTTTGCCTTCTCTCCTGGTGCTCATTCTGTTGTTTCCATGCCTAATGGAAACATGGGGACAATAATTCTCAAAACACTACTGCAGGTCGAGAGCTGCTGTCTCTGACACGAATGAGTCCATCTTCAGAAGTCATTACTTAAAGAAGTAAGAGTAGGTTTTAATCTAGTACCTTTGAATGAAACTTTAGCTTGGGTTTGTTCTGAACAGCGAAGACATAAAACAGGGCTTATAGCTGGAATATTTATGAGCTGTCTTTGCAGAACTGAATAATGGACTAGCTTACACAGACTTTCCCAAAGTGCCTGTGAGGAGGCATGGTCTCCCACAGCTTACATGCAACTTGATATCAGTTTCCACCATCACACACAAAGTGCATACATCTCCAAAAAACCTGTAGGTTCTTTTGCTTGGAAAGAAAAATAACTGCTCTGCAGTAGAGGCTGTTGAACCTTTAACACCAGATGCTTCGTTCAAAACCTCCTAAGAGTGAAAGTTAGTGGTAGCATGTTGCACTGCAGAGCAAATGGCTCCCCACAATCCTCCTCTGGAAGTTACCTTAAAGGCAAACACTAGAGAGTGGCTCTTCTAATGAGAGTGGAATTTTTTCTCTTCTAAATGCTTATTGCAGTGTTACATGTAGGTTTCTAGACAAACATATGTCTGTGGACTGCATCTGCATAGTAAAATATTTTCTGTGGCTTTAATAGGCTGTAATCCACACAGGACTTGGGAGCTTGATGTGGAGATGATCAAAGACAAAAAACTCTAAGTTTGTCTTCAGAGGATATTTTCACTCTTACAGAGATTGCATCACCCTCAAAGTTCCGAAAAGCTGCTGACATTTGCCTTTTTATTTGGACTGCTTTCTATTTTCAGTAACTTAAATATTTACCTCTAGTACAACCCGAGGCACAGTTATGGAGTGGCAGCTACCACAAACTGGCTGCTTTGTGGGAGTTACTTAACAGAAATTTCCTATCACTTTGATTGTGCATTCACATTTAAATAAAGGTACAACTACTGGGCTTAACTGGAGTCTCTCTCAAAGTGTCATCACAAGGATATGACCACTTTGAAGTTCTGACTGTCTCTGGATGAAAGCACAGTCCAACTTAAGGCCTTAGTTTCCTGGAGCCTTTGCAGAGCAAGTTCTAGTTCCCTCCTAATGTATACATGCAGTGGATGAACACAAAACATTTCCTCTTTCCAGAAATTAAATTTAAGAGCATAAGCATTTTGGATATCCCATGACATTGTAAGTGGTGCTCATAGATAAAGGGTACCAGCAGGATTTGGTACTTACCCCATTAATCATCAGCAGGATCAATCCATTGTCTGTAGGTGTTCGAACTTCTATGTCAAATCGGGTCACCTGGGTGAATCTTCCCCTTCTCTCAATGTTTCTTGCCAAGGCATAGCCAGAGCCATCAAAGAAATAGCTCACAGCCCGGCTCTGAGTGAAAGCCAACTTATCTCTAAGAACAAGCAAGCAGGGAAATATTATTTGGTATGTCCACATTTTAATTTGGGGAAACTCAAAGACCTTTACATACTTCATTGAAATAATTATTCTGAACTTCTGTTTCTTCCTGATAGTGGTGAGACTGATAACTTTCTTTAATATTTTTTTTCCAGGAATTTTGTTTCTGGAAAGTAGTGTGTAGCTTTGAAGATGTATGTAATCCCTTCATAATTGCTTTTAGCCTGTGCTGTATTTTAAGGACAGAAAAATTCTTTGCTCATCCTTGTAAGGTGACGGGCCCACAACACTTACTCATATTAATTTCTATTAAGATCTTGCCCAGTTTGTACAGAAATCAATTTGAATTCTCTGAGACCTCTATCTGGAGTTTGCTGGGGAGCCCAGGAGCAGCTTGCAGGCACTGTCCTGGAGAGCAGCAGCTTATGTTCCCTATGGGAATGATGTGGGAAACCATCATTTGCTCTGTCTCAACACTTCCTGCATTTCTTCCCAGTGCAAGCTGCAAATTTCTCTCCTGGTTTTTTTTTTTTTTTCTATAGAGAGTTTCTACTGTTTCTGCCTGTTGTGTGAGGAAAATGCCTGTTGTGTCTGTTCTACATGAATGCTGCAGCTGATGCTCACTTCTACTTTAGGATCTGCATTTCCCAGTTTGTGAATGGCTTGTCTAAGGAATTTCTGTCGTGGGTTTTAGAGTGTATGGCAGAAAAATAACTTCTGTTTGGGCTTTGCTAGCTGGGGCGGGACTGCACTCAAGGTTACCAGACCCACTAGAGCTAACTGGCTGTGGCTTGCAGCAACATGATTTGAGTCAGGAGCAGACCTGTCCTAGGGAAGCAGTGGGGTGAGCAGAGAGCCTGGAACATGCCCCAGCTAACATGGCAGTTTCCTTTTTGAAGGCATGAAAAAGGTTGTGAGATAGGTAATGGAAACAGCAGCTAATCATAGGTAGAGTATCTCAAGTTAAAAGGGACCCATAAGGATCATCGAGTCC